ATTGATGGAGCTATTAGGGAGGTTGGGAAAGTTGTGATAAGCGGGAAAATCTGGAGAGTATGGGGGATCATCTGGCACTATGACCGGAGTTTGGGTAACGGTAGCATCTAGGAAGCTAGGTAGTGGCAAGGGTGGTGCCTTCCCAGTCATCCAAGCCCGATACATGTCCGCCATGTGTTGTCTTAACATCATTACCTCTTCAACCAACCCATTCTCCTGTTCAACCAATTGCTTTTAGGCACCAGTATCAACCAACTCAATTCTGTTGTTATCTGCCATTGCCTTTCGACTTTATGTTGTAGAGAAGAGTTACCACTTTAGGAACCACAAAACAACCACCCTTCTGCCATAATGAAGATAACAAAGAGGAACAAAATGAAGTCATCATGTTAGCGTTAGGGCATTTAACATAATATAATCTCACATTATGTGCAATGCACCTAGTCACAGTTATCGGTTCTAAAATTACTTCGAGGGTACGAAGGTCATATGGCATCATCCCAATTTCACTCTTCTTGCCACGTTTTCTTCTTCATCTTTTCTCTTTAACACTCCTTGGTTTTTCATTTTCTTTCCTCCCTTTTCTTTTGATTACCACTCTTTCCTTTCCACTCATTTCTTAAATCTCATAGTTTCATCCTTTTATTTAATTTTTTTTCTAAATAAAATGATTTGATCGAACCATATGTAGGTTGCCTACGTATCATGTCCCTCATGACAGATCAAGCGTAGTTCTAGAAAAGTAGTGGAAAAAATAAACTAAAAGCAAAAATATTTTGGATTTTTCATTTATATTTTTTTTGGTTTTCAAATACATCATAGGAAGTACGATAACAAAAGACTAGAAAAACTCTTACACCACCTAAAAGACTGAATACTACTATACAGGACTAGAAAGTAAAAGACAACATGAATGACAGACTCAAAACATAAAAGTATCCTCGAGCAGCTCATATATGCAACGGTCTTGACTTGAATGGTCATGGGGGTATTTGTCATGCTCGAGCTCTGGTAGATGAATCCATACCTGATTGAGAAAAATAAGACCAAATAGACTTAGTGACTCGAGACACTATGCGACTCCACAACACTTCCTATTGGACACATGCAAGATATGATTGGGCTATTTTTGCAAAAGGCCTACATGGCCAAGGGTGGCTATCAGTGCAAACTCAACAAATGTGACCTCAAAGACATGGAAACCTCACAAAGGCTTATATGGCCTCAAACTCCCACTAATTATGGCCCTAGAAATTACTTCGCAAAAATGATCCATTTTTGCAAAAATGGCCGATATGGCCAAACACGGCTAGAGATACAAATTCAACAAGGATAGAGCTTAAAGTAATATGACACCTAGTTGTGAACTCAAGATCCTAAGACATGGGTCATCGAACAACTTTTGCGAAAATGACCCCATGCAAATTCAATAGGAATGGACCTTAAAACTGAGAGGACACATTGTTGTGGACTTAGGGATCTAAGACATGGTCTAACAAACCACTTTTGCGAAAATATCCCTATTTTGCAAAAACGACCGATGTGGCGAAATGTGGCTAAACATGCAAGATTTGGCTACGACCCAGGAAGCCAAGAACCTAAGACTTTCTAGGGAGACCGGACCCTATGTGGGCTGCCTACGTATCCCGCCCCGAAAGACGAGAATCAGGTACACTTAGTTCGGGAAGATTGGATACAAGAGAATTTAAAAAAAACACTAATTTAAAGAAAACATATTTTTTATTTTTTTTTCTTTTTTTTTGGAAAAATAATGAAACATGTAAAATATTTTTGAAACATGTAAAATCTTTTTTTTGGTCTTTTCTTGAAAAGCCGTGAAAGAAAAATATAACTGGGCCCTACTTGCTTCATCTTTATACCCTTAACCATCACTGGTCTGCCAAATGACCCCTTTACCCTTAAAGAATGCAGCATGCAGCACATAGGGATGATTAAATGTCTTTTTGAGCCATGAGGCCGTTTTGACATAATTTGAATAGGCCTCCTATAAAGGGACACGGTGCCTGGGACTGAGCCCTGCTAAGTGTAAATGATATGATGAAGATAAGCATGACCTAAAGGCTGACCTAAGTTAGGGGTTCACTAGACAAGGCAATTCGGGACGGCACATGGTCGATGGCGGCTGCTCTAGCTGTCCGCCCACTCCACGCTCCCACGCCGCCCCCCTAAAGACATAGGTGACTCACAAAAGGCCGTGTACGCTCAAACGTACTCCGGAAGACTTGTTGCAGAAAGAAGACCCATGGTTATGCAAATGATGACAGTTATAAAGCAGTAACACATAAGGAAAAGTGATAAACAAATAATCAACAAAACAGGAAATAAGACAAACAAACTAAATAAACAAAGAAAATAAAGAAAACAAACACCTCAACCGAATATCCTAAAACCCAACAAGATCAAGTATCAACTCAAACCTGCAACATTCCCAGCGGAGTCGCCAGAGCTGTCACACCCCTTTTTTACCACATTAAACCCTCTTTAAATAAAAGGTGATTTGTAAAGCTCAAAAGGGTTTTCAATTAGAAAGTGACAAAAAATTATGTTCTAAAAGATATTTCAGAGTCGCCACCTGACATTTGATTTCGGTGTGTCGGGTTACCGTTAAAAAATGACTTTTCTTTCAAAACACGTTTGGACTCCAAAAACTTGTTTGCACCAGAGATCTAGGTAAGGGGGTTCATTTGACTCGCGGGGAAGGTGTTAGGCATTCCCCGAGTCCCGTGAACGTCACGGTTGTGTACTCTATCTAGTTGGCTTTTAAAATATTCAAATTGAGGTAAAAATAAACACACAAGAGGCTCGAGGTCATTCCCACCTAATAAAGAAAAATGAAAATAAAAACCAAAATAAAAATAATACGAGTTCTACTTTTGACCTCCAAATACAAATACTTCGGGGCATACCCCGGATAAAATATATACAATGTCTACGGGACATTCCCCGGATAAATTTAACTAAAGGGGTGACCTCTCACCTCAAAAGAAACTAAAACACGAATGCCCAAAAGGTTTGCCTACCTAAGTGTGACAGGCCTAAACATGCTCTTATCGATCTGAACAATTAATAGAGAAATAAAACAAGAACAGCAGAAACTTTCTTAAGTTTAAATTCTTTCTCATATTTAACCAAGACCCAAAATCAATTCTTCCACTAACATTACACTAAGCTAAAGTTTAAAGCTAGAATCAGATTCATGGTTACTAATAAACGTGCATCTAAGCCTGTGAATCAAAATTAACATACTAACTGAACAATAGCCAATAGTGTCCAACAAATCAAACAATGCAACTTCAATTTAAAGCAGAAACTATTATTCAACATATCACATAATATCACATAACTGAACAGTAGCCAAAATAGAAGCATTGAATCATCGCATAGGAGTAACGAAATGAAACGGAGGGAGAAGAAAACCTCGAACCAAACCTCGAGCTCTGACCTCGAACTAATTTTAAAGTAATGTTTTCAGTTCTCCCGATGACGAAGAGCAAGGATTTGAAAATGGGTGTTCTCCGTCCAAGAGTCAATGCTCTGTTCTATATCTCTGTTGGTTTTTGGGTTTGACAGATATCAGGTTTATGTGTAGGGTCAGAATTTGGCTAGTGGTTGAAGGTGACAATGGTTATAGGTGTAGCTCTTTTCGTTTTTTTTCACTACTTGTGATGTTCTTGTTTTGGAGAGGTTGAGTGGCGGGTGGTTTTGCTTTGGAGAGATTGAGGGGGTGGCGGCTGCAGATGTGGAATGGCTGAAAATGGGGTGGTGGGCCGCTGCTGGAATCCGGTTTGGTCGCTGGTGTTTTTGGGGTCTCTTAAGGGTTCTTAGGGTGAGGGTGACGGCTGGGGTGTGGTCATCAAGATGATTGTGGAAGTAGGTGGCGAGAAGTTGAGGTGTTGGTGCAATTTTTGTCGTCCTCCCCTTCTTTGTTTGTTCGTCCGTCTCTAGGGTTTGTGTGTTAGGGTGTATAAGAAGAAGAAGAAGAGAAGGGGTTCTTAGGGTTTGGTCTTTAAAATTGGGCCATCACTAGTTTTCTACAAAAATTGGGCTAAGAAAGCTAAAAATTCAATTTGTTTTTAAAAGTAATATGAATACTTATAAAAGATATAAAATTACTCTTACTAATTGATCTTAATAAACTATTAATATTAAAATAAATCTAAAATTAAAGTTGAAACTATTTTTGTAATTTCAATTCTTATTCTTTAAAACTAGAATTACAATTAATAGTAGACTGAAATCTTATAGAAATAAGCTCAAATAAATATTTTAAAAATATTAAGACTATTAGAGATAATTCTAATGTGCGGGTCAAAAATTACATGTCTACAAAGATCATACAATTTAAGGCACTTATACAAGAGTCAAAAACTGAGCCTAAGTGTCATAACTAAAGCACTCACTATTCTCAAGGCATAACAAAGTCAAGAAATATTGCATCAATTCGAAACATAGCACAAGGTCCCTACTCCTAACAAAAATGAAAACTAACTATACCCGGTTCAAACAAAATTCTTGGAAAAAAGAACCGTGGCCCAAAGAAAGACCAAGAGGAAATTGTTACACTACCTACACAAGAAAATCTTTTTGGTCTTTTTCCTTCGACTTTAATTCCTCAAGAAACCTGTCGATATGATATCCATCATCGGGAAAAGTCGAAATTTTTTAAATTTTTTAATGTGTTTTGAATTTTTTTTCTAACTACTAAAAAGCAAAACTAAAACTAATATACATACATACATACATGCAAATATCCCCCACCCCATAATTTAAGTTGTGGCATGTTCCCATGACACACAATTAAAAAGCATAAGGTAAAGGAAACTTCCCTGAATATCTAGTCGGGGTATGAGTCAAAGTCGGGCTCCATTCCCGCGCCTGAACTAATACACACATCCATGCAGACAACTTCTTCTCAGCCTTCTTGGGGTACACCCCACACTTATCTTTCTCACTCACTACAGGTTTCTCTTTCGAATTCTTCACTTTCCATTCAACACTTGCAGTTGTTTTTCCGTTTTTATCCCCGTTTCTACATCCATCTTGAAAGTTACAGTCTCCTCACCCACTCTAAGCATGAGTTTTCTCACGTGTATATTTATTTTTCTACCCGTTGCTAAGAATGGTCTTCCTAGGATGAGGGGGACCTCCTTGTTCTCCTCCATCTTCACCACTATAAAATCTATAGGAAATACAAACTTATCCACTCGAACCAAAACATCTTCAACTATCCCATTTGGTATTAGCGTTGTTTGGTCTGCCAGATGCAAAGATATTGGTGCAGACCTTATCTCTCCAATCTCATTCTGCAGTTTCCTATAAATAGATAGAGTCATTAGATAATTGACACACCAGAATCACATAAAGTCTTATCAAAATTAATAGTTCCTAACGAGCAAGGTATAGTAAAACTCCCTAGATCTCCACACTTCTGTGGGAGTTTATTTTGCAGGATCGCACTACAATGCTCAGTGAGTTTGATCACTAAGGTCTCCTCTATTTTCCTCTTCTTTGTCAGGATCTCCTTCAAGAATTTGGCATAAGCCGGCATTTGTGAAAGCACTTCTGTGAATGGTAAGTTTACATTAACTTGTTTCAGCATATCCAGAAATCTCTCAAACTGCTTGTCCAACTTTTTTCTATATAGCTTTTGGGGAATAGGTAAAGCAGGCATATGCTTTCTCTCTTCATGTTCCTCCCTTCTTCTTTTTTTCATCTATTATCTGGCCCTTCTTCTTCTTATCAACATCAATTCGACTCTGCTCCCCACTTTCCTTTTCAGGTATCACATCTTTTTGGCTTGAGGTGGGATCTTTCAACACTTGCCCACTTCTCAAAGTTACAACATTCACTATTTCTTTGGGATTTCTCTTAGTATCAGTAGAGAGAGTTCCTGGAACCCTCTCAGATAATATTGCTGCAATTTGTCCCACTTGTCTCTCTAAGTTTCGAAAAGATGTGCCAAGTTCTTTGATAGCTGCAACATGGGCATCAAGCCTCTCATCTGTCTTGGAAATGAAAGCCTTCATTAGATCTTCTAAACATGGATGATTGGACTGTTGAGGCTGAAACAACATCCTCGGCTGATTCACAAAACCCGGAGCTCCTTGTCCCGGAAATCTAGGGTTGTTTTGTTGCCATGCAATTGCGGTACCCCAAGGTGAACTCCATGAAAAACTGCGGAGCTTCTGACCCATTACATTAAAGTTGTAATTCCCCTTAGCATTCACTTCCTCAGTTGAAGCTTGACACTCATGAGTGGGGTGTCCTCTTCCACATATATCACACGCTGTGTGATGCTCACGTTGTATTGTATCCAAGGTCAGCTTCCGTATTTTCTTAGCCATAGCATCAAGTTGTACATGCACATATATATTAGCATCAACTTGGTGAACACCAGTCAATCTTCTTCTTTCAACACTATCAGAGGGCCACTGATTTGCATCTTCAGACAACTCATCAAGAATTGTAGCTATCTCCCTTGGAGTCTTCTTCATCAGCGGGCCTCCAGCTGCATTGCTCAATGTTCTACGTGAGGCCGGTCTCAATCCATCCCAAAATTTCTGGAGTTGCATCCAGAGTTCAATTCCGCCATGTTAACACTTTCTGAATATCTCCTTAAACCTCTCCCAAGCTTCAAACACAGTTTCAGTCTCTTTTTGGCAGAAGTTATGGATTTCTCTTCTAAACTTGCCCATCTTAGCTGATGAGAAATATTTATCAAGAAATTTTCTGGTTATCTCATCCCATGTTCTAATTGATCACATGGGCAAGCTTCGAATCCATTGCTTTGCATAATATTTGAGTGTGAAGGAGAATGCCCTTAAGTATACTGCATCTTGTGACACCCCATTATATTGAAAGATGTTCATAATCTCCTCGAAGTCAATTAGATGTGTATTTGGATCTTCGTTCATCTTCCCTCTGAAGACACAACAGTTCTGAAGGGTTTAAATCAACCCTTGCTTCATCTCAAAATTGTTAGCTGCAATTGGAGGTGGTTTCACACTTGATAATCCTTGGTTGTATACCGGTCTAGCATAATCTCCAACTGATTTCCTGGGCTTGGGAGCTATATTTCCAAACTGGCCTGGAGCCAAGGGTTGATTTTGAGCAATTCTCCGAGCCCTCTCTTCTTCATAGATAATTTGTGCATCTCTGATAGTTCCTTCCTCAGCATCCCGTGCAGCTTTTTCTCGTTGTTGGGCTGCCTCTCTTGCAGCCAAATCTACATTATCATCATCATCTCCAACCATAGTTTCTTTGGTTGAGGATTGCCCAACCTTCCCTAACGTCTTGGTGAGATTTCTTTCCTTCCTCAGCTGTCGCAGTTGTTTCTCTATATCAGGTTCGTATGGTAGCACTTCTTTCCCTGAAGCTCGATTTTATGCACCAATCTAACCTGTAGCCTGCGCACAGTCAAAGAACACTAAACGAAAAAAGAGAAAAAGAAAATAAAAGACAAATTCCTGAATTAGCACTACAAACTATTTCAAACGCTAATGATGGCCAATCCCCGGCAACGGTGCCAAAATTTGACGATCGCAAAAAACCACATAAAATTATGCTCGCTAAACAAATATAGTATAGTATAATATCATATCCACTGGGATTGGAGTTAAACAATATTCTTGTAGTTCATAGCTTGATTGCTATCAAAGATGATCAACAATTGAGATTTATATGATTAAAACTAAACTTATCTAGGAGTCTAAAACTATTGACTAATGACAATCAACGCAAGTAATGAGCAAAGAAGGTTATCAATGGGAGAAGATAGGGTTTTGATAGGATATGTCGCGCGCCGAACCTGGGCCTGGACGTAACACGCCACTCGGTGCCTGACTACATGTAACCGAGTGAACCAACTGGTTGGCTGAATCAACATGTGATATCATAACATACTAAATACGGAAGATAAACTAACACATGCTGGCATATGAAATTCTGGATGATATAAATCAAAGTGCAAAAATACTAATACAATTCTGAAACATATTTGTAGCCAACACAGCTTAATATGAAAAGCCTGCGACTCTGTCTAACTGTTACCCTAGTCTATGAAGCCTCTAATGAAGTATTGAAAACACTGACTATCTGAAAGTACTGAAGACTGTAAGGTAATGACAATGCCTCGAAAGAACTGGGGATCACCAAATAGCTGGTACGAGAATCCTAGTGCTCTGAATCATCAACCTGTAAATCATTACCTGCATCGTGAGATGCAGGCCCCGGGCAAAAGGGACGTCAGTACATTTGAATTGCACTGGTATGTAAAGCAACTGAAAGAAAGAATTAAAAATGCTGAAACTGAAACTAAGCTGATAACGGAGAATTGATAATTGATAACTGAAATGATAACTATTGAAACTGAAATTGATAGCTGATAATTGATAACTGATAACTAAAATGATAACTTAACTGATAACTGATAACCGATAACTGAAATGATAACTGATAACTGCACTGAACAAAGGAAGTAAGGATATGAATGCTCCCTCTTCTGAATGATGAACAACTTGTTTATCTGAATAAGCTACGGCCTCGGACCCAATATATATGTGCACAAGCTACGACTTCAGGCCCTAAAATGCATAAAGCATAAACTACGGCCTGAGGCCCAAACATGCATAAAGCATAAACTACGACCTCAGGCCCAAGTATGCAAAAAGCATATAAGCTACGACTTTAGGCCCAAATATAGGTGTTCAACATTAAAGAACTAAGAATCATACTGCAATACATGATAGTAAAATACTGAATCACACTGAGTTACATGATACTGGAATAATGGATCACACTGAGTTACATAATACTGGAATATTGAATAGGACTGGACTGAGATATGTGTTGTTGAACTGATTATGAACACTGAAACTTTAAATATTTATGGCATACTGAGTAATCTATACTAAGACTCGGGGGCATCAAACCCAAGTCTATATCGAATACGCATTGAGCTCACAATGTTCAGAATGAAAGTGGTGAACGAGTTATGAAGCTAGAGAATAGAAGTTCCACAACTATTCAAGGAACTAGGCTAAACTATATTTCTAAGGCAATTAGTAACGTCGTAAAAGAAACGTAGTGTAGGGAGAATCATTAACATTCCCAAACATAGACAGTTAGCCTCACATACCTTAACTTCCTGCACTTGAGCATAATACAACGTTTGTCAACCCTTTCAACTTCAACCTATAGATATACTAGTCAAAGGGATTCCATATTAGCTATGTTACTCATGTTTTGGTCACTTAAGCATTATATCAAACACTTGGTGATAATAAAGCTTCATAGTCTTTATTAATGGTGTCTCTACACCAATAACCCATTCTCTTGCTCCTAGATAAATTCTAATGTCTCAAATTATTATAATCAACATTATTCTTTATCACCCATAAGGTAAACAACACCCTTAACCAATAATAAACAATCAACACCCCAAACCTATAATCGTTCATGCTTTTCTGTCAAACCCATCAACTCATATCTCATGAAATAGAGTCTATAATCATTAATCCAATGCTAGAATAAATTGGAGGGTGAAGACATTACCTTTTTGAAGTTAATCCCCTTGAATTCGAGTTCTAGGGTTCCTTCTCTCAACAATGGTGTCCCAATTGAATATCTAATGATATGGAGGATTTAACCATGTTAATAAGATGTTGGGAAATTTAAATCAACTTAGAATCATCATTAGAACTTACCTTGGGTGGTGGAGGGACCCTTAAGGAGTTAGGTTTTTGAGAGCTCCCCTTTCTGGGGCAAGTTTTTATGTTTTAGGGCTCTTGGGGACGAAGTAGAGCTTTAAAATGACCCTCCAAGTGCGCCCCCACGCACCTGTAGTCCTGACCACGCACCTGACCGCGCAAAATGGCAGTAACACTGCCACAGGTGCGCGACCGCGCTCGGGGGGCGCATATTGCGCACTATTCTGTAAAACGCGCATATCTTTTTGCAGAGAGACCCGTTCAAGCTACATAATATATCGTTGGAAAGCTATTTCAAAGGCTACAACTTTCTTCTTTTGAGTGTTCCCAAATTCCTTACACATTTTCACTAACTGCTACTGTAAGATGGACCTTTTGTAAACTCAGTCTATTCTGTCGAATCTTATGAACCTCACTCTCCATCTTGATTCCGAAACAACTATTTTCACCAGTAATCATCCCTCTAGGACTTCATATGTCTAAAATATCAAATTAATACCCATTTAACATATCCACACTTAGTCCGAATGTACGGGGTGTTACATTATCTCCCCCTTGGGATCATTCGTCCTCGAAAGATTGTCCTGGCTGTAACTTCTGCTAACTCCGGACCTTAAACGGGTCTGGTGGAAACATGAACTTTCATTAACACTTTCATACTAAAATGAATGAATACATGACTACTGAACTGTTGAGATAGTGAACTGAATGACTACCGCATTGACTGAATATTGGTCTGCCATGGATACGTGAATACTGAACTAACACAGGTATATGAATATTGAGTTGGCACGAATATTTGAGGATTGAACTAACATCAATATCAGAGTACTAAGCTGGCATGAATATCTAAGTATTGGAATGACATGAGTAGCTGAGTATTGAACTGACATGAGTATCTGAGTACTGAACTGACAAGAGTATCTGAGTACTGAACTAAAATGAGTATCTGAGTACTGGAAAC